ATAACCTTGCGCACACAAATTGAGCTACCTCTCTCAGATGTTGGTTTCATAGACATTTGATCCCGTAGCACCGAATCGCCTCCCTGTCATGTCATTTTCTTGTCATGAATGAGACGTGTCAAAACCATATGTATATGAATATGCAAGTCTTCTTCTTCGTGGCAGGGGTGTAAACTCATCTGGTCACCCACGGGACAGTTGCCCCTTTTTTCCATTCCCAATCAGCCTCGCGTGTGCGTGATTAGGCATCTCCCAAAAGAACCAAACAACACCCCCATCTCACCGATGGAGAACCCTCCTTTATATTGTGTTATACCTCGCGCACACCAATTTGAGCTACCCCTCTGAGATGTGTGACGAACATTCGCGGGGACAGCGATGCCGGAACCCCACCCATGCGCCCCCACCAGTCCCCGCCATCTCGAGAGCGAGAACCGTCCTTCTTTATTGTCGGAACCCCACCCACTCCGATGGGGGGAACCCTCTATTGCGCGTAAGAAACCTTGCAGTACGGGGTGTAAACTCATCACGTCACCCACGGGACAGTTGCTCCTTTTTTTCCATTCCCAATCAGCCTCGCGTGTGCATGATTAGGCATCTCCCGAAAGAACCAAACAGCACCACCATCTCACCGATGGAGAAACCTCCTTTATATTGTGTTATAACCTCGCGCACACCAATTGAGCTACCCATCTGAGATGCGTGAGGACAACGATGCCAGAAACATATGTTGGTGTCATAGACAACTGATACCGTAGCACCGAATCGTCCCCTTGTCATGTCATTTGCTCGCCATGAACGAGACGTGTCAATACCATATGTATATGGATAGGCGAGTATTCTTCTTCGCATGGTCAAAACCATATGCATGTGACGATTTAGTAGATAGATAGATAGATAGAGAGGATTTTTAGCAACGGGGAGAGCGGTACAAAGTATCACCACATTGTTAGATTACACACGAGCCTCCATTTTACATTGTCCGAACCATGCATACCCGCATATGGGAACCCTATTTTTTGTCTACCAGAACCTTCCTATAGACCACGATAGTATCGAGTCACTCCATATTTGATGATACACTTTGGTGTTGTTCTAACATCAGCTGTAACATGGTGATCAAAACAGGAACTTACAGGCTCATTAGAACCTTCCTATATCGTAAGATCTATTCATACCCTGCATGAGGGCATCATATTTTTTTAGTATGAGAACATTTCTATACATTGACGAGAACATTTCTATTCATACCCTGCATGATAGAGCCGACTTAGCTCACGAACTCATTGACGAGAACCTCCCAGATCCTACACCATGCACGCATTAGCCAAGCACTAATGAAATACTAGCACTTTGGGAGTGGTACCACCTCACTAGTCAAACACACAATTAGCCATCAAGTTTCCTTTTAGGGATGATTAACCACCAAACTGAAACCAAGCAAGGCAGCTGGACAGCAGTGGCATGCCCACAGTCGGCAACCAGCAAAAATGAAGAGATAGAGAGTCATGTGGGGTGCAATGACCAGCGGGACATGTTCATGAGAATGAGTGAAGGAGCCAAGCCATGCATGTGAAGGACCGTGGTCTGACCATACCCGTGACGCAAAACTGGCAAGTAGGACTATATGTCTATGCATGGTTGAAAGAAGGGGCTGCTTCTTACTCTGTCTGGCTAGTTGCCGTGTATGTGCACATAGATGAAAGTAGGGACTGCACCTTCCTTCTTTTGCATTTGTAGAATTGACTTGAAAAAATAAGTAAAATGTATTTTTGACCAACGTTCTAAGTAAAATGCATTTTTTTGTTAGTAAGTGTATACTCCAGAATAGTGATCTACAAGGCTTAATGACAATTAATTAAATAAATGTGTATTTTTTCATCCAATCTTGGGTCGCCAAAATTTCACATTTACCATATTTTGATTATTTGTTTAACAAAATGTGTTTTATAAAACGAAATAACTATACAGTTTACTAAAATCCAACTCTCACAACATATATTTTGTATTTTCATTTCTACGTCTCATTTTCTTTACATGGCTGGTCGCTCCTCCACCCAACAAACTGTAATTAGCAGAAGTTTTTTTTAACACTAATTAGCAGAAGCTTAAGAAAAATACGAAAATTAGCGTCAACCTTGATGCCCACTGGAGGAGGTGGTACTGCCATTGAGAACGGAGCCACATTGTAAAACCTCCATGTTTCTTTGTCAAGACTATGGGAGGATTAGTCAAGAATACATGCTGCAACGCATTGAAAATATTCAGCCTACAGAATTTTGTCTTGGTGTGTACTCTGTAAGCCAACGTGAATTAAAGGTACCGAACCTTTTACATTTGATGCATACAATGGACGTTCATACATGCTAAAAATAGCTTGGGATGGATAGAACCTTTCAACATTAACAAGGCAACAAAACCTAGAGCATAGGCTTACCCAAAACAGATGATGCTCGAGAACCAATGCTAGAAAGGAGCTGCGTCCATTCCCTGAGTACTCCTGCCATTGCAGGTGTAGGTTGCCATTTTGGTCCGCTGCCATGTAAAGCACCCCCACATGGCTTCCTCTTTGGTAAATGCGAGCATCTATAAATCAACAAATAGGAACCTTATCCACAGTAAAGTTCGGATCTTGAAGCAAACTAACGGTTCTGATAGCCACCTCCATA